GGTCGTCGAAATGTACGGAAAAAATTAACTTATTGAAGTTAAGTTTTGTTTTTGTACAACAAATTTAGGGAGTTGGTGATGATGGCGTTACCAACCTTCTTAATCTGTCGGCGCGTGAAGCGCATAGCAGCTTGGAATACGCCCGATTTACCGACCCCTCTCTCATGTGAAGAGCAGACAAATGATGGATCACAAGGCTCGAGAGCTGAGATTAATTTGGCGCACTTGTTCCTCATAATTGCGTCTTTCATTAGGATTTGTGGCGCGCGCGCTCTGGGCTCTCCGCCGGCTGTGACGCGCTGAAACGGCTCACACACCGCGGGCCGAAGTGATAAGGCAATCATGATAAACTCCGCGAGGTAGAAAATGACCTCACTGGAAAAACAAAGGTGCTGTAGCACCCTTTTGCTACTGAATTTTTAGGGGTGCTGCTGCATTAGTGCCTTTGTAGAGGCACTAGTATTAGTGCCAAAAATAGCATCTTTGGGGGCCAGTAGCACCTTTCCAGAGGCACTATTTCACTAATGCCTTTAAAAAGCCGTAGCACCTTTGTTTTTCCAGCGCTTTATTTTTTAAATCTATGTTGTGAGTGTAATGATTCCAAGGTACCCCGTACCTTATAACAGCATCCTTGGTGTCGCAATCCCCGTACGGCTTCGCTGGGTGTCGCACGTCCTGGAAACAGAGAGAAATCGGTCAAAATTGCAATTTAGCGCAGTTGAATATCCCCCCATAACTTTTTTTGTAGGCTCAAAACAAGTAATTGCTGTTTACTGCATTCAACCTGCTGCACCACATAGCAGTCTGCCATTTTAATTTATATGTCCCCTCTTTTCACTTTTCGTCACTTTTTTAAACCGAGTCATTTTTTTTTATACGAGCAGAACAAAGAAATGGTAAATAAAAAGACAACAGTAGTACTTCCCCTTCCCTATTCCCATTCAACGACGCTCTCGCGGCAAGGGCTTTTAAGTGAGAGTGTTTGTAGGGGAGAAAATTTGAGAGTGCGAGCGAGCGAACGCCGCGCGCAGCGGACGAGAGTGGAAAGGAAAAAGTGAGGTAGGGAAGGGGGGGGGGGGGCTGGTTCGGAGGCCTCTGGATGGATGGAGTGAGAGGAGAATGGATCCCGAACAAAGGGACTGCACGGATTCATTCCGATTTGTTTGTCGGTCGGTGACATCAAGGCGAGCGACGCGTCGCACCGCATCGGCCCGCCGCGCCCCTCCTCGCCACTCCCCGCCACGCCCCGCCACGCCCCGCCACGCAATTCCACTTTGTTTACCGGGGGCACACAAGATAGCGTTACTGAAAAACCAGCGCGGCGTCGTCGTCGCCTCCTTGCCTCCTCCCGGCGTGTCCTCTTCGGCGTCCTCGTCGCTCCTCTCGGGGCGTCTCCGAGGAGGCGAGGAGGCGGCTGCAGCCCCCCCCCCCTCCCCGTCTCCTCGCGCAAACAGTGATTCGGAGGGGCGTCGGCTACTTCCCCCCTCCCCTCTCCTGTTGGTGCCCGAGTGACGCGTCCTGCGCGCGATGCACTTATGGGAGTCTCTCCGTGTCCATAAATTACGTAAACCTTACAACTATACTTTGTTTGACCCAGTTTATGGCGGCCAACGCGCATGTCGACGCGAGAGGGGAGGAGGGGGAGAGGAAGGGGGAGGG